CTTGTCTAGTTTCTAAGGAATCTACATTGTCAAAAAGCCTCCCAAATGGTTCTGATGATGAGCCAGGAGTAGGTCTCACTGCATTAGATAGTTAACCTGGAGCTAATAGTAGCATAATTTCAAAACACCGTTTGACTTAAAAATTATTTACTAAACAATTCATGACTAAAACTTCATGATTCTGGATATTATTAATTCACTTCACCTAGGATTTAGTCTTGCATTTGATTTTGTGAGTACCATATAATATCGAAGACAATTTCAGAGTTCAAAACATCTAAAATTTCGCCACATATACACACGTTTTATGTGGAAAGACTCACATATAATATATAGTTGTAGATCCTCATTTTTCTTTCGATATGACATGTTAGGTACTTCCTAATGTCATCATTCTTCAAAGCAGTGAAAATAGTATTCCATTAGGATGGGAGTCCTGATTAATTTAATCATTTCCTCATTTTTGGACTTCTTGGGTATTTATCACTTTCCATATAATTGTAAACATCATAACTGATACCTTTCAAATAAATAATTCATTGAACATTGATCTAATTGTATTTTATCTATTTAGAAAATGTTTATTCTACTTACAAAATATACATTTCACGCCTTTTTTAACTGTTCTAAGCTTGGACACAACTTTCTTAATGGTCACTCCAATTAGTTTGTTTTCTCATTTTCAGATCCTTAGAATAATTCTCTATCAACTATGCCAAGTTAAAGAGCCATGAGGTTATTCAGTCTTTTGGCAGATTCTCTTGGTTCCTATATTTGGGCCTGATCTCCTTATCACCGTGTTCTCAGGGGTACTTTCTAACAGCAACCACACTGCAGGGAGGAGAAATATAAATGGTACAAACCAGTGTTTTTTAAACTGTGGCCTAACAGGTCATCTGTAATAAAATAACCTGGGGTGCTCATTAAAACTAAAGGATCACAGACCCTTCAAATTACTCAGATATTTAGGTGTGTGGTCTAAGAGAATGAAATTTAAACAAGGCCTCAAGATAATTTTTATGCATACTCATGTTTGAAAAGCCAGTCTTCCATATACTAGAATATCAATGAATTAGGAACCCAGATCTAAGGCACATCCAATGCCAATACTTCTCTCTACAATTTGTGTAGATATTTAATCTGTGATCACCAATACAGCATAATTTCTTTTCCCCTCTGCTCCATCCCTCTTCGATTAGAGTGCATCTTTTGTACAAAGTAGAGAACATGTCTCTTTTATCTGGGTCAGGCTCCTCTGAACCCTCTTCTTTACTAGGTTCTGACCTTGGGTTATCTCCTTGGCCTGCTTAGTCCAGCTTTAGCAAGAATCCTGTGCCCTCACTTCAGGGAAAATTCTCTTCCCTTGATATCTGATCACATTCCCCATCCCCCACACTCCATATCTTATCTCCCTGACTTGCCCTCAATAAGACTCCTGTTGAGTCAGCGTAACAAGGATCCCCTAACCCCTTAGCAATTTTCCATCCACTGATCCCCTCAGTGCTCCTTGGCTGTAAATGTCCACTTGTTCTGATTGTATTTATAGTTGAGTCCAATCTCCCTCCCCTACTATACAACTCTATCTACTGCAGTAGTCCCTCTTGAGAAAGTTTTCTTTTCTGTCTTTAATGACTGTCATAAAATTTTTTTCTTTAACACACTGTGCTATGCTTTGAAAATAGGAATATGAAAGGAATAGGCCACACATTGGAGAAAATAACCCTCTACTATGAAAATTTATCTCACAAGAAATATTTATAAAGTAATACAACCAAATCTAAACAGAAACATGACAAAGCATACAGAAAAATTACTATAATTTGAAAGAATTATTAAGAATTTCTTCCTATGGTTATATCTGCATGGCTGAATTTAACTAAATACAAAAATTAGAAACGCCCAACTTGATGTGGCTTATATATTACAATCACTGTTGTTCATGCCAGAAAGCTAGCTCTAAATAACATCAAGCATGGCCTGTCATAATATTAGGATCCATAAAACACGCACATTTTGTTTTTAGAAACAAAATATCTTTGATAAACTCTGCTTGTTTTCATTTTAATGGTACATTATTAGCAAAGTCCTTGCCTGTTATGACATCTTTCTGTAATAGACAATAGTAATGTAAATCCCAAGAAGAAAGATTCATTTGATGTCAACCCTAAGAAAAAATTTATCTGCTGAGATGGATTCCCCATGGTCAACTAAGGGCCCAAATTTTACAAGTAATAAGAGCCTCGTGGTAATATGCTGACAAGAGCTTCTCACGTACTCTGTTTACTGGAAAGAACCTCAGACTGAACACTCTCGGCTTCTCGCACTATGTCCTGCTGATTTACCCAACCTAAGTCAACAATTACAAGGAAGTTACTGCTTTCCTGCTTTGACCAATGGCCTAAGACCTGCCCCATCCAATTGGAACTGCTCCATAATAACCAATCAGGACCGCACAATTGAAAAAAATCAGAAGTATACAAATTTCGATACCCCATTTACGTAAAATGAACCTAATTGGGAACCTGGGCAGATAGTTTTGCTATAAAAGGTAGTCTCTCCCCTTTGTCTCCATGGAGCACAATTTGGGCTGTTACCTGAGTCTGTGTCTTCTGCGCTGCAGCTCTTTTTGCTCAAATAAATGTGTTTTTTGAAATTCTTTATTACAGTCTAAAAGTAATTTTGATTTATAGTAGTTATACACATATTTACATACATACACACTTAGGTACACACACACACTTATCTCATTAAACTGTATTACCAGAGTGGATGTTGACAGGGGAAAGCTCATATTCTTATTCAATGTCATTACCAAGTAAAAACTGAAGAAATTTCTAGTGGTTAAGCGTCCACAGTCTTCTGGACAGTCACAATCTCTTTTATAATTAATTGCATTCAAAGCCTAATACAATGGCTAAAAATCAAAACACTGTCAACACCAAATGCTGGTAGAGCAACAGGAACTCTCAATCATTGCTGATGAGAATACAAAATGGCATAATCGCTTTGAAATACAACTTGGCTGTTTCTTACAAAATTAAACATACTCTGACCATATGACTCAGTAATCCCATTCCTTGGTATATACCCAAATGAGTTGAAAACTTATGTCCCATGAAAGTCTGCAGAGAAATATTTAAAGTAGCTTTTTTCATAACTGTCAAACTTGGAAGCAACCAAGATGTCCTTCAATAAGTGAACGAATAAACAAACTGTGGCACATCCATACAATGGAATATTATTCAGCAATAAAAAGAAATGAGCTATCTAGCCACAAAAAGAAATGGAGGAAGCTTAAGAGCATATTGCTAAGTGAAAGAAGCCAGTATGAAAAGACAATATACTGTGATTCCAAAAGCAATGGAAATATGTCATTGTACATTTTTCAAAACCTATATAAAGTAGAAGACAAAGAAGGAACCCTTACGTAATGGACTTTAGTTAATAGTAATGTATCAATATTGGTTCATCAGTTTTAACAAATGTATCACTAATACAATATGTTACTAATAATGAAAATTATGTGTGTTTCTCCAGAGGGGTATGTAGAACTTTGCGATTTTCAATTCATTTTTCTGTAAACTTAAAACTGCTCTAAAAAAATCTATTAATTAAAAAAATAAAAAGCAAAGCCTAAGAGGTTATAAAACCAAACCAAAACGAAAAAAATATCCTGGTAAAATAAGACAGCTTCTAGAATTGTGACCAAATGGTATTTTATGCCAGTTTTCCATGGTGACACCACTGAGCATCTGAGTTGTGGTTAATGTGGTGGTAGCTGTGACAATATTAGAATAAGACACAGGAGAAATACTAGAGAGTACCCAGGGCCCATTAGCCTGAAACCTATGCTTCTGCATTATTCAGTTTGAGTCAGGCCCCTAATCTGTTGAACCCTTAGCAATTTTTTGAGTAACTACTAAGATAACTAAATCAGGACTTAGCAAGACCAGAGCAAATATTAAAGTGAAGCCTAAGCTATACAATTACCTCAGACCATGGGGAGTTCTTGTGACCTCTGGGGCAGATTTTGTGTGTCAACTTCCCCAGAGCCCTAGGACAACAAGGGTTCCTGCCAAATTGAGATGCTCCCCTGGGTCCTGCTGGAGAAATCTAATGGAGAGGAAGGAGGAAAATATTCTGAGTTTAAGTTTCTTGATAATGAAGTAGAATTACAGAAATCAGAAAGAATCGTAAATCTCTAGGTAAAATTAAAGTCATGTGAACATTTAGGACCCAAAGTATCTTTTTTCCCTAAGAAAATCTCTTAATGCTGACTCCAGTCACAGAGATGCATAAACAGCAGGCGATACTGCAGGACTTTCAACAAGGAAAGTGTCATTGCTCCCCAGCTGAGTACCTCCAACTAATGGCTGACAGCTGTGCTAGGACCCAGTCCCTTCAGCCCCGGAGCTGCTCTGCATGTGAGCAGCTCTGCAGTGTATCACAGGAATATTATCACCATCTGCGAGTGCAAGAGGAGAGAAAGGCCGAGAAGCACCTCAGGGGAGAGTCTCTGCCAACAATGCTTTAATCCAAACGGCTGGACTGGTGCTTTGCAACTCCCATTGTTTCTACACATCATCCTACTTCACACACAATGATAACATTTGCCAAGGAATTATTTCTGAACACTTCACAGCAAAGGTATAAAGTGTGAACTATTACAAAGCTTTAACCAAATTTAGAGTACCCTTAATACTTCTGATTATACTGCCTATTTTTGCATCACAGTTTTGTTCAATTTTTTTTTTAAATCCTCAACTAAGGATATGTTTTTTATTGATTTTTAGAGAGAGAGAGAAAGGTGGTGGAGGTGGGGGAGGGGAAGAGAGAGAGAGAGAGACATTGATCGGTTGCCTCCTGTAGGCGTCCCGACCTAGGATTGAACCCACAACCTTTTGGTGTATGGGACAATGCTCCAACCAACTGAGCCGCCCAGCCTTGGCAGTTTTGTTAATTTTCAGTGTACAAAACCAAAAGTAGGAACTGGCTGTTACCTTATAATGAAAACTTCTGTACTCGTCTCAGGGTAAAGCGTCTGTGTCTTCACACAATCCCTCCGCTCCAGGACTCAGCAGCTCCCGAAAGGTCTCTACCAGGTCTAAGAGGAAATAAAAATATGTAAATAAATTTCTTGGCGTGCTTCAACTAACATTAAACTCTGCTGCAAGCTATTCAGATTTTATTTTTACCATTTCATGAAATTTCCACATATCTTGCATCATTCTATCTTGAAAAAAATAATCATTTGAACACTTAATTTAAAAAAAGAATTTTCTTTCTTTAAATCATCTATAATTTCTGCTTATCCATCTTTGAATGAATGGTGACATTACCTGTTATAATGTCATATTTACTATTTTCCATGATTTTTTACTTACTTTCTCTAGATCGCAATTTTATTCTTTATCTCATAATAATAACAAATGCTTCTGCAAGAGAAGTTGAAAGTTGTTAGGCTTATGCAATCCTGTCTGTGGCTTCACTAAGACAGTTTTATTGCTTTCCTCTACTATGAAATAAACTAACACATTTTGGTCCCTAATCTCTAATGCCAATTTTTTTTTTAAACTTAAAAATCCCTCCTGGAGCCCGAAGTACTCCCATCAAGTCTATAATAGTATGGCCTGAGCCACTGAAAAAGTGAGCACTGCCAGCACGTTCTATAAGACAGCCTTCCATCGCCACAAAGGTTTAGGCATTCTTTCTTGGAACTAGCAAAGAAAATAAGTTGGCTTTGGGAGTCGATCATCAACTGCTCTAATTCAATGAATCCATTTTCTACAGGCTTTACTTGGCAAGCCTCTCCCCACTGCCTGCAAACTGGCTACTATTCTTTGCAAACCTCCCTTGCAATTCTACCCAAATACCACCCTCTACACCCCAAAGAATTATGTGCTGCTGAAAATATATTTTAAAAGAAGACTTTTAGTAGTGGAAATATCTAATGGAGAGCTCTTTCTTCACCTCTGCAAACAGTTTTGCATGTTGACGCACAGAACTGCCTGGAGGATAGGGAACTGGCAGAGGCTTATCAGAGGCATCAGGAAGCCTGGGCCCTGTCCCCGGGATAGGCCCAGTTTATCAAATAACCTGCCTATGGGGGGCTTGTAGTCCAATTATATAAATTGGATGGTACTTCTGAACTCCGACTACTTCTGAGAATCTTATTCTATGTATCTTTGGAATTTTTAAGAGCAAGTGAGTGAAGATTGGGGAAGGTGGGACCAATAAAGCTTTCAAGGAGAGGCATACGATAGTTTTCAAAATAATATTCTTTCCTTATTAATCTTAATATTTTTAACATGGGTATTTTCTTGACTCTCATTAATACTATTAAATATCAATGGGGATGATGTGGGTGAATCTAAAAACATTAAAGTTAAGTGAAATAATTCAGACACAAAAAGTGCATATTTTATGGTTAAATCTATATGAAATTCTGGAAAAGGGAAAAAAAGGCTAGGATGATAATTGAACAGCGGTTGTGACAGTCTAACTGGAAAGTAGCATAAGGGCACTTTTTGGAATAACAGAAAAATTGTATATCTTGACTGAAATAGTAGTTACATGGGTACATGCACTTAAAAAGACTCTGGAACTGTGCCATTAAATCTACCCTTTTTTGTAAGTTAATTATACCTCAATAAAAGGGACACAAAGAGACTTCTCAGTTTTGGAATAATTTTGAATGATTTTAAGAAGGAAACTTTACCTCCCTCTGGGCAGTGAAAAACAATTCTTTTTCTTTCACTCATGCACCCACTTACCAAAGATTTGTTAAGCACAAATATAGCCAGAGTTAACACAGTGGCAGTGTGCTAGAGAAAATGTTAGCAAAACAGACATAGCCCCTATTGTGAACTTAGATTCTATTGGTGGAAAGTAGACAACTAAAATGGACAAAAACCAAGAGTTAAGGCTGCAGCACTGAGAGAAGGTTCCTGTTTTAACTAAGGGCTTGCATCAAAACAGAGTGAACTATTTTATGCTAAACCCCAAGCTAATCTGAGCTGAAAATATTGGAGTTCACTGAGTCATTAAAAGCTGTTAGAGTGATCAGACCAAGGCAAACTGAATAATGTTTTTCTATTAAGCCAAGTTTATATATCCTCTAAATTCACTGAATCAAAACATTAGAATAATTCTCATGTCAAATTTCATTGGGATACTGAAGTTTGTGTGTGTGTGTGTGTGTGTGTGTGTGTGTGTGTGTTTTAACAAAATTTAGGTCATCTACACCCTAGGAAGCTTATATATACAGCTGTCCATGAAGATAACATGGTGTTATATGACCCTCTTTCCCATAAGCAAATCCAAACTGGGAAAACAGGTGCATCTACTTCTGGTGACTTTGCTGCCAATGAGGGATTTGCAGGCTCTCCCAACAACAAGCATTATGCATAATCACAATAAATCCAAGCTTGTGACAGGTGCAGTGATTGATATACAAAGTATAACTACAAAATAGACCAGCATTCCAATATAACATGCTTTCAGGTAAATACAACTCCGTCACACACATGCACACACCCCACACACTTTTAAATGAAGTCGCTCTGTGGGAAATCTGATTTTTAAAGCACACAAAAATTTTTCAGAGTAGCTGTTATCAAAAAAAACATAGTGTCCCTTTTTCTGGCTTTCTAACTTATTTGCCTAAAATTCTTTCCAAAATGGGAGGGGTCACTTATAAAGTTTAAAAAATAAAGGAATGTTAAGTAAAAAGCAAAAACAACAAAAAACAAAACAAAAGCGTGAGCCATATTTATTTCATTTTGTGAAACTCTCTAGAAGGAAATCAACATGCTTTTTAAAAGACTGCTCTAAGAGAAAACATGTTAGAAATAGTGAGTGGTTTAAAAATTAGATTTGGAATGAGATGCTTACTTTACATGAAGGCCACAATGGGTCTATGAATGCCTTGTATTTAATCAAACACCCACAACCCTACCTCTTACTGATCTCTGCTGTCCTTCCCAGTCTCTAATCAGACAACTTAGGGTTTGGGTTGTATTTTACTGGCAGGACAGAAAATGGTCACTAAAACTCTAAAGTACCTGGGACTCTAGATAACTCACATATGTGAACCATTCCATATGACCACAGAAAATATTGTCAGATTGCAATCCAAACTGTAGAATGACACTAAAGTCATTTTATCCCTGACTAGAGTATTTTCTTACTCTAGTCAGTGAAAAATTCAAAACAAATCCTCTATTGCTGATTAGGAATTATGGTTCCCGTCTGTATAGGCTTAACATATTTGATATTTAAGAAATCCATCCATCTATCTTGACCACGTAATACTTTCGTTTAAAATCCTATGTTTTATTTTTATTCTCCAATCAAATAGTTGATAATTATAATAGTTAACACAATGGAACATTCTCCTGGCATTTTAGTGCAATTTTTCCTTCCACTTTTCCAATTTTTATTCTCCCAATCTCACTTCAGTTTTGGTTTCTATTTTTTCTTTCTGTCAATGTGAATATTAGCTCTGTGTTCCCAGTTCCTTAATCATTCTTTGAAACTCACTGGTATTTTAAGAAATACTTTAAGGAAAAATGAGGTGCTGAGTTTGTGAGATTTGAAGAACCTAGTAAGTACTGTACTTAAGACTTTTTGCTCTCAATCCACTGAATATATAATTGTGGTGTAAAATTCTAGATGATTTCTAACAGTTTTTACATTGTCACAACCTCCTTCCCTGCTAACTCTCAAAGACTTCACATCTTGACATTCCCTCTGCAGGCCTGTATCCACTGATAACACAAGCCTTTCCCCTGTGTCCCTAGAGCACATTTTAAGTAGCTACAAAGTTAATAAATTTATTAAACACTAAAATCTATCTAATAGCACTGAGACATTTTGAAAGAGAAAATAAAATCTTTGCAACTATTGATTTAGGATTGAATTTCTCCAAAGGTTCAGTTTTAGGAATCAGCTTTACCGAATATGCATACTTGAGATAAGTTCAAAAGTATATATTTAGCTCTTAGTGTGGGCCAGTCACTGTGCAAGGCACAACGGACATACACAAAAAACATTGCCCTTCCTCTAAAGTAACTCATAGCATAGCCAACAAAGATAAGGAGACATAAGCACATAAAAAGAATTCCATAGCATTTGGCGAATACTATATAGATGTATACATCAGGCTATGAAAAAAATGTAGGCTGGCCCGGCCCGTGTGGCTCAGTTGGTTGGGTGTCATCCTGTGCACAGAAAGGCTGCCAGCTTGATTCCCAGTCAGGGCACATCCCTGGGTTGTAGGCTTGATCCCTGGCAGGGCATGTGCAGGAGGCAGCTGATCGATGTTTCGCTCTCACACATTGATGTCTCCCTCTCTCTCTTCCTCTCCCTCTCTCTCTAAAAATCAATTCTAAAAATCTTCCAAAAAAAAAAAGTAACTTGTAGACTCAATTTTCCAGATGAGGTATGAAAGACTAGGATGTGTTTCATATATATCTAAGTATCTAACTTTGGGATATGTGTCATCTAAACCAGTCTTCAAGATACTTACTGTCCTGATTATTAGTTGTAGAATTTATTAAATACTTACGCACTTGGTTTTGCCCTATTTGTCATTCAATAACCTTTTATTTAATAGTTACCATGTGGCTAGTTCAGGCAGAATTTTTCTCACCCATAAAACACACATACCCATAGTGTTATTGTGATATTTAATAAAACAATATATGTAAAATACTCAGTGCAGTACCTGGTATGTGGTAACTGCCCTACTCCTGGGGCAGGGGAGAGGGGAGAGGCTGGGAAGCTCAATCATCCCTAGAGAAGATCTGGCTTATCATTAAAACTCTCTGCCCTTGAGCAAAATTTTCATGTGTAAAAGATCTGGGATTAGTTATCACAGTTCTTATTCCCTTAGAAGTCATCCAACTCATCCAAACAGGTTGCATGGCATTTATTTGAGGGAAGAGCTACATATTCCTCTAAGACCAAAGGCTCATATGGAGCATGTATTTGTAGCTAGAGGTCAGCTCTCAAGAGTGACAGCTGAGCTGAGGAGATCTCCAAGGTTTTCACAGAGATCACAGACAGGTTCTATGGCGTCTGTATATTCCTCTTAAATACACT